CTCCCCCACCCCCAATTATTTTGGTCTTGTTTTTGTTTTGTTTTTGTTCTAGTTTTTTCATACTCCCTTTCTATCAGATAGATTCCTGCCCACTTAAGATCCTTCGGTTAGTTTGTTGTTTTTTTCTCACCTCAGCTCTTCCTTCTTTCATGACTTTGCGTCTTTCACCTTTTTTTCGGTCCTTTTCTTCTTTGTTATTATCAAGTCTTTAGAGATGTTATTAGTGGTGTTGTTGTTGTTGTTGTTGCTGCTGCTGCTGCTGCTGTTGTTGTCTGTGGTGGTGGTGGTAGTGATGGTGGTTTTGTGTTTATGTTCACATGTATGCATCTACGTATACTTGTTTTGTTTTGCAGTTGTAGATAGCTGGGGCTTTTCTTTCCCTCTGTTATTTCTGTTCTTCCGTCCGTCTTACTCTTTCCCAGCACTAAATGACTGTTTTCATCTCGATGTGCTTCTTCTAGTTATTTCCTATACTCAAACAAAAAGGAGTGGGTTGTTGGCGGGTGATCTGATGAGGTTTAATCTTCTGCACTTGCATAACCAATATTTGTGATGCAAGTGCTGTAAAATTTGGCTACATTTTGAAAATTAAAACAAAACGATTTGAAAGAACAAAAAAAAACCCCAAACATTTTCATGAGAGCATGTGTGTGCGTGTGTGGGTGTGTGTGTGTGTGTGTGTGTGTGTGTGTGTGTGTGTGTGTGTGTGTGTGTGTGTGTGAATGTGTTTGTGCGTCTGTGCATACATTTCCGTCAAATGATAAGAGTGATGGAGAGAATGAATTTGTTTGTGAGTGTCCTTTTGTTTAGTTTGCATGACAGATAGAGAGACAGACAGAAAGACAGACCGACCGACAGACCGGCCGACAGACAGACAGACAGACAGACAGACATACAGACAGACAGACAGACTGTACATCATGGGCATAATGTTTGTACAATAATAATATATGGAGTCAAATGTGTGTCAGTGCATATGTCTGTTCGTTTGTTTGCTCAATTAAATGGACAAAGCTAATATCTGACCTACTATAGCCATGCAGGTCCGTGCGCCCTCCATTCGGCCACTGCCGGGCTGTCGGTAGTCTATAGAGATACACTGGTCCGGGAAGGTACCTGTGGGTACACACACACACATAATATACAGAGGACAAGGTTTGATTTTGCAAAGGCTCAACATCCAGATTGATGCAATGAGTCATTCCAAAACAGCCGTGGCCGAAGTGTTAAGAGAACTGAAAGCAGTCTAGACATATGGCATGAAACATAAAAAGCCGCCAGAAGTACGTTTCGGTGTTGATGTTATCTTATACAATAATATGCGTTCAAGAGAGACAACTAGACAGATACATAATTTCAGTATTCCCTAAAGTAGTTGAAAAGGCGGCTATTAGGTCAGTTTGGGGTAATAGCATAGATTGTAATACGCATAGAGCTCGCTGTTGAGATGGAAATTGCGCTATACAAATGCTATGCATTATTTATCAATATTTAGCCTCTGAGAGAATGAGTACGTACGAACACCCATACGTGCTGTATCTTTTTATTCAAAAACCTTGAGTGGCTGGTTGGCTGGCGCTCTGGTGTGGTTTTCTCTCTTTTTTTTTCCTATACAACATTTATCGTTCTTATCTCTCCACGTTTTGGTGTGTGTGTGTTAGTTACCCTCTTGTACCACCTCTAATCTTTTATGCTTCCTAATTGTGTTGCAAGTGGCTTAAAACGCTTACTAAAAAAGCGCTCGTGTGCACTTATTTCTGATCAGTCACACCTCCCCAATAAATGAATACTGAAATAGATACAGAAAAACTAATAATACAAAATTTTAAAAATAAAACAGCGACAGCACTTGGGCTACAAATGAGCAATTTTTACATCGCACAGAAAATATGCCACCCCATAGTGATCACTATGTTGACTTTAAAATTAGTCTTTTCTACACCTTGCGCGAGATCAAATAAGGATACTCTTGTCAAAATAAAGCAATGCAATCTGTTATTTCTTCCAGGGTTTATGTGCATGTGACCCATAATCATGAAAATAATCTACGTTACTTATCATCAATGATAGTACATAACAAGATGGGCCACTTCTCTCTTTGAGCCAATTAAAAAAGTGTCCTCAAAATTTGGTGGCGCCCTCTTCACAAAAGCGCACTCTTTGCGAACAGAGTTACCCTACTTGAGTTTTTAAAAAATCAAAGTGAAACTAGCAAGTTTTGGGATAAATTTCGGAAGAACGCTTTTTAAAAATGCTTACGCTGACAAAAAACCTCTTCCGGAGGAAAAGGAGATGGTTTTCTTCGTTTAATTTGACTTTAGAATGAAGGGCGAGAGGTCATTAAAATTAAAAAAAACTAAAACTCCGCACTGAACGTACCCGAACTGCTGATGAACAGCAGTCGATCTGCGCACGCAAGGAGGTGCTATTCCTATTCTTCTTCTGGAAAAACGAAAGAGAGCTTCAAAACAGACTGCAGCGCCATCTGAAGCAAAGAGCATACTTCCTGCGGACACTTTTTAGGCTGAGTGGCCCATCTTGTTATTTACTATCTTTGTTATCATGATAGTCCACATGTTCTCAGGGTTGCACATTTTTATAGAAGATTACGAAACAAGTAAGTTGGAGACCTCCTTTTGTCTTGGTAGCACTCAGTACAAGACTATTTTAATGTATATCAAGTCAGAAGGGAAATCCAAATACATAATACGGGAGAACAGACAGAGAGGTGGGACAGGGAGAGAGAGAGAGAGAGAGCGCGAGAGAGCGAAAGATAGAGAGGGCGCGGGGTGGGAGGAGAAGGGTATACAGACAGACAGACAGACAGACAGACAGACAGACAGACAGACAGACAGACAGACAGACAGAGAGAGAGAGAGAGAGAGAGAGAGAGAGAGAGAGAGAGACCGAATCCGATAGACAGACAGAAAGACAAACAGAAAGAAGACAGACAGACAGACAGATAGACAGACAAACAGAGAAAAGGGGCATGATGACGTTCTGGGTGAGGCATAATGCAGTGTAACAACCCACAGAATGTCGTGGGGAGAAGTAAGAGTGTCAACAAACATCCTTATCAGTGAACAATCTGGTCTATTTTTTGCTCTATCATTTCCCAACTGTCTCATATGACATGCAAATCAAGCTCGCCGAGTAAGTTTGATTTGGGAAATTTTTCCGTTTTGTTGTCGCCTTGTTTTCGTTGTTGTTGTCTGTTTTTGAAGTTGGTTTTTTTTTTTGTTGTTATTTATGTTTGGTTGGTTGGACGTTTGTTGTTGTTGTTTCTGTTTTGTTTTTGTTCGTTATTTTTGTTGTGTGTTTTGTTTGTTTGTTTATTTTGTTTGGTTGGGTTTTTCGGAGGGTGGGGGGGGTTGTTTGTGTCTTGTTGTTGTTCTGGTTGGGGCTATTGGGGACGAGATTTCTTTCAAATCGATTTCATGTTGGATAAATTTTGTCTTTTTTAGGGAGAGGGGGAGAGGGGGAAGGGCACAATTTCTTTTGTTTTTAGTTGAACGTGTGGGGTGCAGAAAATCTGACAATGTTCGAGCTATCAAACGGCAAACAACTATTAGCGCTGTATATAAAATACAAAAATATTCATATAAATATGCGTTTTAGTTTTGCTTTTTTTTTGGGGGGGGGGTAGTGGGGTAAAAATATGAACTAGTGCGGAGAGCAGTTTTATCACACAAAGTACAGTTATGGAAAAGTAGACCTAAAGCAAGACACAAAAGTCGTAACTCATAATTTGTGAAGTGAAACTATGCCCGTTTGTTTTAAGTACTCATTAGTTTTGTCTCATTGTTGTTTGCTTGTTTGTTAAGACTACGCCCGTTTGTTTTGTTGGAATAATTGTTAGTTTTGAACATCGCCATTCTGACATCCCATCAGTTAATGCCAACTGACAGTTCTCGGTCGCCTGCCCATCCCCAAGACCTACTGCGTTATCTTTGTTTTCTAGGTCAATCCTATTCAAGGGGGGGGGGGGCATCGAGAAGAGAAATGTTCAGGAACAGCTTTGTCGTTGTTTATCAAAGTCACGTTGACAATATTATACTTCGGAACTTTCCTGCTTCTGGCTCATTATCGTGTCCGTTCTTGTCCTGCCAGCTAGAAAAAGAAACAGAAGATAGGACGAGTGGACAAAAAGGAGGAGCCTCGAGAAGACACGAAAGAGAAAAGGAAGGACACTCAGAATTAATTTTTTTTTTTTAGAAAAAGAGACAGAAGAAATGAGAATAGACACACAGATGAATAGGATGGAAAAGAACAAAGAGAAAGAAATAGACTCTCAGAATTGAAATAAAAAGGAGAAGAGACGAAAGAGAAAGAAAACGGTTCTCAGAATTAAAATAAGAGGACTTCGTTTCACGGTTACTGGAAATGCAAGAGGCAAAAAAAATTCTGTTTCGTAAACTACTATATTATTAAATCAGTTTTCTTTTTCTTCTTCTTCTTCTTCTTTTTCTTCTTCTTTTTCTTCTTCTTTAAATGGACATCCCAGTCTCTAGTTCGAAGGCTGCTGTTCGCCGCTGGTCCTCTCGGCCCCAAAAGTTTTGGGTCTCTCTGCCTAGGTTAGGGCAATATGTCTTTCTAAGCGCCTCAAGCTTTGGGCAGACTTGCCGCAAGGTTTGCTGTTTGGACGCAGGTTCCGCACTGACACGGCTATGAATTTCGGGTTTTGAACTTCGTGTAGAAGTGTGTTTCAGTCGGTTGTGTGCTGTTCTAAGTCCGAACTGAACAACTTGCTCTTGATGGGTGAGGAGTTAGTAGAGGTCATCCTGGTTTCAGTGTGAATGTTGTTCCTTCCACTTTGCTTGTAGCCTCCTTTTGCTGATGGGTTTGGCCTCTGAAAGGTTAGTCTAGTCCTTTTTTCAGGTTGCTCTGATCGAGACCCTTACTTTTGCTAAAGAATCAGCAATTTCATGCCCGAACAAGTTACAGTAAGATGGTGTCTATTATGTAGCACAACTGTGTGATTTTTGCAAAGGCTTGCAATT